GGCGTGTCCCTTGCTTTTATCTTCATACAGAAAGTCTGTTGAAGATGTTTTATTTGTCTTCCAGAATTTGCCTGTAGTCGGACATGATGCCCGACCGAATCCCTTCCCTCACCTGAGGCAAGCCCGAAGAATTGCAGCCTCGGCACAAGCGTCATGCGTGTTACACAATTTCAGCCAAAACTTGGCAGGAACATAGGCACCGATCTGGGCGTTATTTCCCAAGTCACACTCAGCAAGAGGGGAGAACAAATTGATCAGGAAATGAACACGAAACGGCGGCGCACGGGGCTCTGGCCAAACCAGGAGGTCCTTCGCATGCCCACGTCAGCATACCCCCCTCATCCACGCCGCAGTCGTTTTGCTTGCCCCCTCCTCCATCTCACCTGCCTCGCGATACACGCCAGTCGCTGAAAGGATCTATTTTTGGATACCCAGGTCCAATCTACTTGAGGCGCCCTCCTACTTCAAGAGTCGAACGGTTTTCCCTCTTACCTCCTTTTCAGGGGTCGGGTGGAGGCCCAACTTATTGCGAAGGCCTTACGGCCGGTGCCGCCAACCCTGAAGGGGGACGTCGACGACGACGGCGGCGGTGGCGGCGGCGACGACGACGACGACGCTGATGTGGGCCCGAGTCCTCAGGATGCTTCTTGGGGTCTCTTGGGAAGGCTCTCGGGGGCCTCTGGGGGGAGTGTTGGGGTCTCTTGGGAGCCTCTTGGGGGCCTCTCGGGGGCCTATTCGCGTGTCCTGGGGGCCTCTTGTGGGCTTCTTGGGGCTTCCTGGGAACCTCTTGGGGCCTCCTGGGAGCTTCTCGAAAGGCACGCTCTTGGAGCCGTCTTGAGGACCTCTTCGGCAGTCGTGGAGCGGCGGGAAGCGGCAAAGGCGAGACCGCCCAAATCTGTCAAAAACCAACGGAAAATCAATGATGTTTGCCTCTTGGGGCTCTCTCGGGGGTGCCTTTGGAGGCCTCTTGCTGCCTCTTGAAGGTCTCCTGGGCAGTCTGGGAGCGTGACGGCGTTTTGGGCCGGTCGTTTGGCGATTTGGGGCCCTCTTGGACCGTCTCGGGGGCCTCTGGGGCACTCGTGGCTTGTTTGGTTACCTTTTTCCGTCTCCGGACCCCCAGGGGGAGGATGGGTCCGTAGCCATTTTGGCTCAAGCTGCTCGCGCGGGCGCGCCCCCGGGGCTCAAACCGGCTCGTCATGGGCGTCCGGAGTTGAAGTTTCTGGAGGTGGTCCGCCGGGGGATGGCTGCGGGAGGCGCTTCGGACGCGGGGCGCATCGTCCTGCGGGGTCACGCTGGTGCGCGGGCCTCCGCAGACAACCTCATCGTGAAGCTCAAGGCGAAGCTCTCGGCGGCCGAAGGCGAGCTGCAGCGGCTTCGGGCTCTGGTTGCGGCGCCTCCCGACGCGTCCGTCGCGGCGGAGGTGGCGCGGCGCGAGGCCATCGCTCGGCCCGCCTTGCAGGCCCTCGTCGAAGGCTCGCAGGTGCCTGGTATACGCAGGCTGGAGCGCAATTGTGCCCTTCATGCCGCGTGCTGCCCGCCTGCGGGGGCGCCAATCGCTGACTGGAGGCGTGCCCAGCATGGGGCACGCTTGGGCAGGGCGGTCGGCCTAGGCGGTAATGGGCTAGGCTGCACTTGTGGCACTGTGGTGTTCTCCTCTTGTCACGTGGTCGTGAAAGAGTGGAGCCTGCGCGCTGATGCTTCTCCTTTCGTGCCTGGAGCTGGTGTCTGGGTCCCCTTGCCCTCTGATGCTGCAGGCGATTCGATGGCCGTGGCTGCCGATGTTGCTTCACGTGTTTCTTCGGTGGGAGCAGTCGACACCCTCGGTACCGATATGGTTGATGATCATCACGATGAGGCAGACGCCAGCACCGTCGAAGACGAGTTCTGCGCGCTCGTGGAAGAGCAGCTGGTGGCCTGGTCTGGCGCTGGCAGATCTTCCAAGCCCTTCGTGCAGCTCCGCAGGCGGCTCGACGGTGTTCATGGCGTTTCACGCGAAGGAGGTGCTGCGGCTGCTCCTTCGTCTGTGCCTGCTGACGGCGAGGGAGCTCCTGAGGTATCTGCATGCGCTTGGGTACCGATGCATCTTCCTCATGATCCTGGAGAGGGCCGCCTTTTCAGTATGCAGTCTGCCTTCAGCTGGTTATAAATCGCCACGGAGTGTTTCTGGGATATTTTACTTTGTTCTGGTATTACATGCTCTTCCTCGGCATTTTGTTTTTTCCATGAACGACGGGGCTTCCTGGCATTTGAGTGTTCGCTCAGTGTTGTATGTGGCCGCCGCATGGATCGGGGCAGAGTTTTGTGGTATCGGGCTCGGCTAAATATGCATTGAACCTCGCCGTGTGCGTGCAGTACCTCCCCCTGTTGCTGTGCGCGGTGTGCCTCTCATCCGAAGTCTTCTCGCTTTCGGAGGCGGCACTTCAGGGGCGTTGGCGTTGATGTCAAAAACAGGGGGAGGATGGGTATCCGACCCCCCCCACGGCCCCCCCTCCGACGGGGTTGGTACCAAGTGCAGGGGTTTCATTTCGATTCGATCACGGCATTGCCAGGTATTTCTCTCGCTGACATGCTTGAGGAGGGCGCAGGGAAAGGGGGCGACGCAGACAACGACTGACGGAGACGAAGCCTCGAACAGACAAACCCCTCGCACACGCCGACATGGTCGGCGGATTCCCAACGCCTTCTGCTTCATGTTTCTACCCACTTCTTCTGGCCGACGGGTACGTACAGCTGCATGTGGTTGGGTCCCTCGCCAGGATGGTCTCAATCCATGCGTTTCTGCTCGCTCTCGGCCTCTGGGGCCCGTCTCGGGGGCCCGTCGTCGGGCCCCAGAGGAGGGCTCCCCAGGCGTTCTGGTCGAACTGCTTTCAGAGTCATCGCCAAGCCCCAGGGTCGGGTGCCGCTAGATGTGCCCCGGGCCCAATTTACCCCCAGGATTATCAGGGTGGCCCAGACGGCCTCCAGAGCACCCCTAACGAGCCCAGCGGGCCCCAGAGGCTCCAACGTGGAGCGGAAACTGGGGGCACCTTGGGCCAGGAACGCTTCTAGCAACATCCGACAGGCATGGACCTCTCGGAGGGCTTCGTGTTGGCCCTTGCCGAGCTCACGGCGGAAAGGGCAAGGGCCCTGGTGATGGGCCTTGCGGCCGCTTTTTGGTTGCCGTCCGACGCCCATCTCGCGTCTGGGCTCCTGATCGTCTTGTGCGTGTAATGTGGTGGCCCCCCAAACCGCTCTAGAGCCAGCGAGGAGAGCTGCCCAGATCTCCGACGATTGTTCGTTTTTTTCCTAGTCCAGGTGTGCTTCCTCGGTTTCGGCCTCCAGGGCCCGTCATCGGGCCCCTAGGTTATCAGGGATGGATGGGCCATCCACTGGCTCTGTGGAAGGGGTCGGTACCTCTGCGGCTGCACATTGAGAAGACATCGTCGGACGTCAGGGTCCGCGTCCTCCTTTTTCCTTCCCCATCCTCCTCCTCCTCCTCCTCCTCCTCCTCCTCCTCCTCCTCCTCCTCCTCCTCCTCCTCCTCCTCCTCCTCCTCCTCATCCTCATCCTCATCCTCATCCTCCTCATCCCCCTTTCCTCTTGCAGCTCGCTCGTGCCAGCAGCACGTAAAGCTGTCTGCCATGTGCCGTGGGTGTTTCATGCGGTGTGTTTGCCTACGCGCTGGACGGCGTTTGGCTCCTCTGTCAATTCCCCCGCTTTTCCTCCCTTGTGGTTTCGGTGTTCAGCTGTCCTCCGATTCGTGTTCGCGATCCCATGTTCCCCACATGCTGATTGGATCTCTTGCT